AGGACACTTAGATAAGTCGATGAATAGGAAAGGTTTGGAGGGATATGGGCCAGGAGCAGGCAGGTGGGACTAGTTCAGTTTGCGATTATGTTTGGCATGGACTGATTGGACCGAAGGGTCTATTTCCATGCTGTATGAATCTATGACTCTATGACGGAAAACTAATTGTTTGACCTTGTTCAGGGTTTATTGGAACCCTGAGTCTCCTCACATGAGGAATAATATTAATGCTTTGGAAAGGGTGTAAAGGGCATCCAATAGGAGGAAGGATTACTTATCAAGATGGGCTGAAAGAGCTGGGATTCCACGTTTGAGAATAGCCTTAAGAACACATCGATCAAGGCTCACGGGAAAATGAAATGCATGTTTTGCATTCCACTTGGTAGATTTTTTTTCCCCTACTAAATGGTTTAGGAGAGCCGAACTTCATAATCAGAAGTTTGTATAAGGCCAGATCTGAGTTTGGTCTGAGGCAGTGGGTAACTGTTTCCCCAGAGAATCCCAAATGAGCCGCTGACACCAACTTATTTAACTCCTTCAAATAAAAGTTGGATGTGTTTGTCCAGATCACATCTTGTAAAGTTTAAGGACAATCTAGGACCAGGGGGTCACTGTCTAAGGACACAGGGTGGTCCATTTAGGACTGAGCTGAGGAGAAATGTCTTCACCCAGAGAGTGGGGAGCCTGTGGAATTCTCTGTCACAGAAAGCAGTTGAGGCCAAAACATTGAATGTTTTCAAGAAGGAGTTAGATATAGTTCCTAGGGCTAAAGAGATCGAAGGATAATGGGAGGAAGAGGGATGATTGAGGAGTGACGATATTATGATGGACAAGGTATTAAATGGAATTGTGTGGAGCAGGATCAATGGGAAAGAGAGTCCTTTGCTGTTCATCGTCATCTGGATGTTGGTAATCACCCAGCATGTCTTTAAATTGTGCCATGGGATCTTTCACCTCTGACTGTGCAGCACTTTCTCAGTTCTTGACTGGAAGAGTCAGCCTGGACTGTGAATCTCCCAGAGTGAGATGGGAGCTGGAGATTCATTACAGACAATAGAAAGGGAGCTCTCCTGGGACAGACCACTTTATCCCACACCTGTTAACTGAATGGAATTTGTAACTCCAGGCAGGTGAGTTGCTTGTGAAAATCTGTTGCAATCTACAAACATCCTGTGGTTATCCTGTGTTCAAAAACAGCCAGAGCAAGGTGTGTGTACTTTTGTGTATATGCATTCATGTGTGTGAGTGTACTTACCTGTGTGTGCCTTTGCATGCATGCATGAGTATGTGTGTGTACGTGTGTCTGAGTGCATGTGTAAGTGTGTGTATATGTGCATAGTTTTACATACACGTGTGTATATAAGTACTCATGTGGATGTGTGTACTTGTCTGTGTGTGTATACGTGAGTGTGTGTATCTCTGTACTTGTCTGTGTGTGTGTATGTGCATGTGTGTATATGTCTGTACTTGTCTATGTGTGTATATGTGTGTGTGTGTATGTCTGTACTTGTCTGTGTGTGTATATGTGTGTGTGTATATGTGTGTACTTGTCTGTGTGTATATGTGTGTGTATATATGTGTGTACTTGTCTGTGTGTGTATACGAGTGTGTGTGTGCATGTGTTTGTATGTACATATCATGTGCGCATGAGTCTGGGTATGTGTAACGTGTGTGTGTGTGTGTGTGTGTTCATTTATCTGCGTGTGTTCAGTGGCCTGGGCTTTGTTTTTGATAGATTGCTGAATGACTGATTAAATGAGCTGTGCACATAGGTCTCCAATCAGTTATTTTGAACCACAGTTTTCTTTATTGAGTTTTTGATTCAAGCATTAAATTTCTTGGCAGTGTTCCCTTCGACTGCTAATTGAGTCTAGTCATCCAGGTTTTTGGAGGCATGTCTCCTCTATGGTTGTCAGATCTTTTTCCCCTGGAGGTCATAAGGTCAGCAGACAGCTTTGCCATCCTACACTGAGTTGTATATATATGTATATATATATATCTTCTAGAATCACGCAACATAAATTCAACCCCTTCATCCCATCCCACCTCTTTGGAAATGAAATAAGTCCCTCTCCCTTCCTGCTGTTTCCCCAACTGAACACAGGACTTAGCAGCAGGAGGAGGTCATTCCTGCTCTTTATAATAAACCCATGGCTGATGTCATTGTAACCTTAACTCCTCAGTACTCCCTACCCCTTATAAACTTTCAGCCACTTTGCTCAAAAACAATCTCTCCACCTCTACCTTAAAAATATTCACTCTGTTTCCACCACTGTTTGAGACAGACAGTTCCAAAGGCTCACGACCTGCTGAAAGTAATCACTGTTTATAGATAGGTGACCCCTGGTTTTTAAACAATGACCCTTACTCTCCCGACAAGGGGAAACATCCTCTCTGCATCTACCATGCTAAGGTCCCTCTGGATTTTGTATGATTTAATTACTTCATTTCTCAGTAGTCTAAGCTCCAGGGGATACAAGCCTAGTCTGTCCAACCTTTCCTCATAAAACAACCCACTCATTCTGTGTATTAGTTTGGTAAACTTTCTCTAAACTGTTTCCAACACATTTACAACCTTCCTTAAATAAGGTGACCAATGCTTTTTGTTGTCCAAAGCCGAAGCTGTTTCCTGCTCTTATATCGAATTTTGAAGGTTATTGACCCTGTTTTCACCACTATTTCAGGTGATCAAAATAATTTGCAACATTGAAAAGAAATTATGGTCATCTCCCCTTCAGTTCTTTTGCCAATTATAATAAAATCTGTGTCCTGTGGTTTCTGACTAACCCATCAGTGGAAACACATTCACTTCTGTGTTCTGTCTGTCACCCCGTGACCTTGTTCTTTGTTCCGAACCAGTTTCTTTTGTGTCCCCATGTGACAGAAGTATTTAATCCAAGATGCTATTTGGCACCCTCTGTAAATCCTCGCAAAAGGATGGCCCCCAGAACTGAGGGCATCATAGAATTGTAGACTCATAAACTCATGCAGTACAGAAGAGGGCCTTTGGCCTATTGAGTCTGTACGCCAAGAATACACTGCCACCTATGCTCCCGTACTAGGCCCATACCCCTGAATGTTATGACATTTCAAGTGGGCATCCAAGTGCTTTTTAAATTTTGTGAAGTTACCCACCTCAACTACCCTTCCATGTTGCATTCCAGACTCTCACCACCCTCTGGGTGAATACGTTTTTCCTCAACTCCCCACTAAACCTCCTTTCACTTTAAAATTTTGTCCCCTTTGCTATTGACTCTTCAACTAAGGGGAACAGCTGCTTTCTATTCACTCTGTCTATGCTCCTCATAATCTTATATACCTCTATCAGGTCCCCATCAACCTTCTCTGCTCCAAAGATAACAATCCGAGCTTATCCAGTCTCTCGTCATCACTGAAATGCTCCATCCCAGGCAGCATCCTGGTGAATCTCCCTCTGCATCCCCTCCAGTACAATCACATCTTTCCAACAGTGAGGTGACTAGGCCTGTACATGGTACTCCAGCTGTGGCCTAACCAAGGTCCTGCCCAGCTCCATCTTAACCTCCCTGCTGTTACAATCTCATGCATCCCAAAGGATTAATTTACAAATTGGATCCCAAACTGTGGGAGCAGAAACAACCTTGGACAGACCAGAATGGTGACATCTTTGTTAACAAGCCAGTTTCAATATTGGAGAAAACAGTCAAGTGCCTGCATGCCAAGAAAGAGCATGAGGCAAAAACAGATAGTGTCTCCAAAACCTACTTCACCTGCAGCATTTGGAACGGGTCATGTGCATCCGTTACTTAAATAGAAAAGTTGTGCACAGAAATGGAGAAAATGACAGGAGATTGACAGTAGGGGATAGAACCAGCACAGGCACAATGGGCCAAATGGTCTCCTTCTGTGCTTGAACAATTCCGTGATTCTGTAAAAGACTAGTCTAATGATGACCATTGTCAATTGTTGTCAAACCCCATTTGGTTCACTAATGTTCTTCAGAGAAGGAACCTGCCATCCTTAACCCTTCTGGCCTACATGTGACACCAGACCCACAGCAATGTGGTTGACTCTTAACTGCCCTCTGGGAAATTAGGGATGGGCAATAAATGCTGCCTGGACAGCGACGCCCTCATCCCATGAACAAATACTAAAGCTCAAGTGGTAGTGATGTTTGTCTGTCTACCAAGCAACCATTTTCTCAGCCATTTTCAATATTTTTATACCTGAAAGAGAAATAGACAAAGACAATGATAAAAAAAATGTATTTTTCATGTTATGGTGAAGAGAGACTGGATTGGCTAGGACTGAAGATTAAAGGAATAAGGAAGGGGGAATCTCACAGAAACCTTCAAAATTCTAACAGGACTAGACAGGGTAAAAGCAGAGTCATGGAATCCCTACAGTGTGGAAGCAGGCCATTCAGTCCATCGAGTCCACACCAACCCTCCAAAAAACATACCAATCAGAGCCAGGAAGGATGTTCCCAATGACCAGGGAGTCCAGAACCAGGGGGTTAGAGTTTAAGGGTACAGAATAGGACTGAGATGAGGAGAAATGTCCTCAACCAGAGAGTGGGGAGCCTGTGGAATTCTCTGCAGTTGGAGCCAAAACATTGAATGTTTTTAAGAAATAGTTAGATAGAGTTGGGGATCAAAGGGTATGGGGAGAAAGCGGGAACAAGCGACTGAGTTAGACGATCAGCCATGAGCATATTGAATGGCGGAGCAGGCTCAAAGGGCCGAATGACCTATTCTTGCTCTTATTTCTCTGTTTCTACGAGGTGCCAGACCAATTCTGGAAGGATGTATAGAGGGATGAGGGATGGCTGGGGAGGTTCAGGATGTGCACACACTAGAACGACCAGGTAATCAATAAATGTGAAAGGCATTTTACAAATGTGTACTAAAATAAAGAACAGACTGGACATTTTAAAAACGTATTTTATTTAAAAGTGTTTTAAAGAGGAAAAAAATAGGACATTGTTTTCAGAAAAACCTTTTATATTTAAGTATCCACAAAAAAAACTTAGAATTCTAAAGTCTTATAAATATTACTTTTTTTTTCAGAATTTAAAAAAAAATTATCTTGTAGCCTGTGGTAGAAAATATATTTACAGATTACATATGTACAGTCACTGCCAGAGAGCTATGAAAACCCACCTTGCCATTGCCACTGCTCAGGAGCTTGGCAAGTGTCTGTTTCTGATGAGAAACTATGATGCCTGTACCTGGAGTTGCCTGTATCCCTGCACCCGAAAGAGATGGAGCTGCCTCGGAACCTGTTTGGACTAATTGGCTTCTCTGAGATATACCCACTCCAGCTTCGAAGCTCTGTCTTCTGTGGCTGGTTCCGTGGCATGTACGCTTTCTCCTGGACCTCTCCGTGCCCATCCACCCCAACCCTGATTCTGATAGCTTCACCCTTGCCCACGTGCTGGATTTCCCTAATTTTCTCCGCGATTTGCTCCTTCACCAGCCAACGTCCCTCACCCGCTATGTCGAAAGCAGGAGCCTTTGTGTTCCTTCTCCAGCTTTGAGGTGAAACCCAACTCTGGGCCAAGCTGTAGCAGTTCCTTGAGGTGGTCAAATTCACCCCACCATCACCCGCAGCCATCTTTATCAATGTGGCGGTGGGAGGGGAGGGGAAGGGGGAAAGAGAGAGAGAAGAGGGGGCTGCAAAGGAGTTTGAGTGGTTGGGGGTTCCCTTTGAGCTAGAAGGGAGGGTGGTTGGAGGGGAGTGGGGTTAGTGGAGGAAGACCATACTGTGGAGGATTGAAGAGTTGTCAAACCACAACAACTGTTTCCCTTTATTGACGTTTTCCATCTCCTCCTCCTTCTTCAAACACAGAGAGAAGCCGGACCAGGGTTTTTCAAAAGAATGTTATCCAGCGCATTCAGCTCAAATAATGTCTACCGTGTTGGCAGAGAGCCACTTGAAAGGCAAAACTAGAAGTTGACACATTCAGAACCATCAAGGTGTGCCTTGTCGATTTATTGCATCCAGTGTCCCTGCAGATCTTTCCGGAAGAGCATTCAGGATTGGGGCTTTGGGTGGTGGGGAGGGTCGGCGATTGCAAGGGAGGGTTGGGGTTGGGGGTTTGGAGGTGGGGGAGGAATGGGAGAAGGGGTCACTTGCAGACGTACCTCTCCACTATCCTCTCACACCTTTTGCACGTCACGTAGCAACACCAGTGGTACTTGCAATGACAACGTTCCACCACCTTCTCCATGTAAGGGTTGTAGCCCCGCCCGCAGCACATCAGGGTACAGCTATCGCTGCCGTTGGATGTTTTGTTGCACTGCCTGCAAAAGGGGGAAGGGAGGAGTGGGCCGGGAGGGAAAGGAAAGGAAGAGCAGAGATTGCAAATGACTAAAGGTCAAGCTCACCCCCCAACCATCGCACGTTTTTCCAAAAAAAATTCACTGCAGGCAACATTGGCAAGGCCAATATTTATCATTCAGTTCCTTATGGCTCTAGGTGAGGTGGTGGTGAGCCACCATCTTGAATCTAACTGAGTGGTCAGCCAGGCCAATCAAAAATCCGACCCCACCTCCTTACCCTGCATGTGACCTCAAACCCACAGCAATGTGATTGACTCTCAACTACCCAGTCAAATGGAGAGCCAATGATGTCCTTGCCAGCAAAGCATTGAAAGAATTTTTTTAAAAGTGAAGCGTCAACGTCATTTTGGGTCTGGAGTCACTTGTAGGCCGGACAAGGCAAGGATGACAGGTTTCGCTCCCAAACAGACATTAGAGAATCAGGTACGAACACAAAGACAAATACAAAGAGAAACTCAACAGGTCTGGTGGCATTTACAGAGAGAAACAAGAGTTAATCTTTCGGGTCCTGGATGACGCTTCTTCAGAACGTGAGCCAGACGTGGTGAACAAGATGGTCTTTTACAACAAACTGGAAGGCTCAGGGTCACTGTGCCAGAATTTCATTCAGAATTTATTTAATTAACTTATTTGAAATGTTTCAGCTGCTGCAGTGGGGTCTGATCCCAATCCCAAATCATTAGTCTCGATTAATAGTCTTGTCATTATGTTTACATGAGTTTAGCAGGACAAGGGGAGACCTCATAGAAATCTATATCATTCTTAAAGGTCTAGACAGAGTAAATGCAAGAACAACACTTTGAATTGTTTTTGCATCTCCTCTAATGTCTTCACATCCTCCCCAGAGTACGTCGCCCAGGACAACACACCAGCTGAGGCTGAATCTGTGACTTATTTCTACATCACCTCATTGTTCTTGTACTCAATGCTCCTAATTATAAAGGATACTGTATGCATTATTAAAAAATGTTCTCAACGTGTATCCCCAAATGGCCTCTACTCAACAGAATCTGATGTTTGAAAGCTACAGTTTGAATCTGCGGGATTCTTTGCTGCAGAGGGCTGTAGAGATTGGGTCATTAAGTATATTCAAGGCTGAGATAGACAGAGTTTTAATCAAGGGTCATGGGGAAAAGGCAGGAAAGTGGAGTTGAGGATGATCAGATCAGCCATGATCTCATTGACAGGTGTAGCAGACTCAATGGGCTGAATGACCTACTTCTCCTCCTCCATCTTATGGTCCTTTTTTAACCACATCAATCAGCCTACCCCTTAATCCCGTATACCTTTAGGTAATTGAGTAATGCAACCTTGAATCCCTATAGTGCAGAAAGAGACCGTCTGGCCCATTGAGTCTGCACTGACCTACTGAAGAGCAAACCACCTAGACCCACCCCAACCCCACATGGGGTTTTCACCATGGCTAGCCCACCTAACCTGCACATGTTTGGACTGTGGGAGGAAACCGGAGCACCCAGAGGAAACAGACACAGGGAGAATGTGCAAACTCCGTACAGACAGTCACCCGAGGTTGAAATCAAACCCCGGTCCCTGGCGCTGTGAGGCAGCAGTGCTAACCACTGAGCCACCGTGCTGCTTGTCCCAATGATTTAATCCTGTTAATAGAGTTACTTATAGATTAAAAAAATAAGTTCTTAAAGAGTCATACAAAATCGAAACAGGCCCTTCGGCCCACCATATCTATGCTGGCCAACAAACACCACACTACACTAGTCCTGTTTGCCTGCACTCAGCCCATAGCCTCCTATGCTCTGGCATTTTAAGTTCTGATGCAGTTGGGAGTCCAAAACTAGAGGGCAAAGTTTTAAGGTGAGAGGAGAAAGACTTAAAAGGGGCCTAAAGGGCAACATTTTCACATGGGTCGTCCTTGTATGGAATGAGCTGCCAGAGGAAGTGGTGGAGGCTGGTACAATTACAACATTAAAAAGGCATCTGGATGGGTATATGAATAGGAAGGGTTTAGAGGGATATGGGCCAAATGCTGCAAATGGGATGAGATTAATATATGATATCTGGTTGGCATACACGAGTTGGACCAAAGGGTCTGTTTCTGTGCTGTATATCTCTATGACTCTAATTACGCATAGCATTACAAAGGGTTTATTACTGTTAATGTCATGTTGTACCATCTTAGCATACCAATTCACCGAACAATGTAAAATCTCCTAGTGTTCTGTAGGATAACCAGAACAAATGAATAAAAGTTGCTGAATTCAATAAAAACTTCAGAACAAACAAACTGTTATGTGTCATTGAAACATACGTTAGACTTCACACATAACCAATAGCCGACCAAGGTTGCTACAGTTCTTAACTTTTTTTGTATTCCTATAAAATTCCTAGAGTTGGAACAGCTGCTCTGACTCAGTGGGTCAGCCTGGTCAATGGGGATGGTCGGGGGCAAAACTGCAATAACCTTTTGTGTATGTCGGAACGAACAGCCTGCTTTTTTCTCACTCGCTTAATGAACCCTTGGGAAGCAGGAGACAGAAACGGCCTTTATTTCCCAAATCATCACCTGTAAATCCTCTGGGCAGCCTCTGAGGGCTGATGTCCCACCCCACTGTTTCTAGTTTTGTTTGGACACTAATTATTGCATGCTTCCATAGTGTGACTGCTTCTCAAAACTTGTAGGGCTTCGAAGGATAACTTTAGGCCTGATCCCCATGTTTCTGAACTCAACAACAATAGAGCTGATTCATTCACGTGGGCAAGGATCAAGAGTTAACGTTTCGGGTCCGGTGACAAAAAACAAAGTCCAACTGTTCTGAGGAAGGGTCACCGGACCTGAAATTTTGTTTTTTCCTTCGCAGATGCTGCCAGACCTGCTGAGCTTTTCCAGCAACTTCTGTTTTTGTTCCTGATTTACACCATCCGCAGTTCTTTCGGTTTTTATTGTTCTGAAGAGGACTTGTATTGGACATGAAGTGTTGACTCTAATTGTCACTTCCCAGAATCTGCCAGACCTGCTGAGTTTCCCGGCTCAGTTACTTCCTCGTGATCGAAGCTGAAGTTTAATTAATGCAGGTTCAATAGACAAAGGTTTTTAAATACTCGACACTCAAAAGAAAGTGCGTCAGGATACAAGTTTGTTCAAGGTACTTGACAGTTAAAGTGTAGTCACCAGAGCAGTGTAAGAAATGCAACAGGAAATCTGCTCGTTGTAAAATCTCACAGACAGCAACGTGCTAATGGGCTGTTTTGGTGAGGGTGACGGAGATTCATGGAGCACTGTAATTCAGCAGGTCACACACTACCCTCTACGTGAACATGTTACCCCTTAGGTCCCGGTTAAATTTTTCTCCTCTCACCTTAAACCTACGCCCTCTAGTTTTGGATTCCCCTACCCTAGGAAAAAGACTTCGACTATTCACCCTATCCATGCCCTTCATGATGTTATAAACCTCTATCAGGTTGCCTCTCAGCCTCCAACACTCCAGGGAAAATACTCCAGTCTATTCAGCCTTTCCCTATAGCTCAAACCCTCCAACCCTGGCAACATCATTGTAAATCTTTTCTGAACCCTTTCAAGTTTCACAACATCTTTCCTATGAGCTAATTTTGTACCCAAAAGGCTAATTATCTCTGTATTCCATGTGATCTACCCATGTCAACCAGTTAACCAGCCTACCATATGGAACCTTGTCGAACAGGGTTAGAATTTGACTTGATGGGTTGAAGGGCCTTTTATCTCTGCTGCAGACCTGTATGAATTGTGGGATATGGGTGTTGCTGCCTGGCCAGCATTTATTGACCATCCCTAGTTGCCCTTGAGAAGGCAGTGGGGAGCTGCCTTCTTGAACCACTGCAGTCCAAGATGCGGCTGGACCTGCTGAGTTTCCTCAGCACCTCTCTGTTTTTATTTCACGTCTCAACAGTCTTTAGCTTTTAATGAAGCAATCAGACTGTCAAAAAATGAAGCTGAACTGGTTTAACGACAGAGATAGTAGGAACTGCCGATGCTGGAGTCAGAGATAACACAGTGTGGAGCTGGAGGAACACAGCAGGCCAGGGAGAATCAGAGGAGCAGGAAAGCTGACGTTTCAAGCCAGGACCCTTCTTCAGAAAATGAAGAAGGGTCCCAACCCGAAACGTCAGCTTTCCTGCTCCACTGGTTTAATGACATCTGTTAGGTCAGGTAAGCCTGGAATCCAGACCAGGTTAGGCCTATGTGTGACTCCAGTCCTACACCAACACAATTGTCCCAGCTACTCTCTGAAGTACAGTCATCTGACCAACGCCTGATTTGTTTTAGGTTCCTGGCATCTGCAGCATTCCTTTGCTAACTTTCCCCGCCTCGATATTTGGAAAATGGTCAAACTGCTACCAGGTCTCTCAAATCACAAGTATGGGTTTTCAAATCTTAATGAAGTTTTGTCTGTAATATATGCTTTTGCGAAAGCATTTTCTATTGTGTTTTTTGTCTCAGTTGAGTTATTGAATAATAGGTATAAACGAGTATTTACAAATTGGCAAATCATATCAATGGTTTTTAGAAAGCCCAGATCATTCAGAACTGAGGGCAAATCATTCATTTACATCAAAAGGCTCAGTGTTAGGAGGACGCCACTACCTTCTCAAGGCAACAGGAGATGGGCAATGAATGGCAGCTCTGATGGTGACACCCATTTCCAATGTCTTGTTTTCTCCATCTTTAATAGGTGAATATTCATATGCATCTTTTAAAGGTTCAGAATCATATCAAGCAAATTGATGCAGGAACACAAGTCTTCAGTAAGTCTAGCCTGCCAATCTGGTGGGCCTCCCCCACCATATCCTCAGGTAACCTGCCAAGTCAACATTGAAAATACCCTGGAATTAGGGGCACCTTGTCTGCAAGGCAAAAGGATGCTTGAAAACGTGGTCCATAGAAACTGGGAGCAGGAGTAGGCCATTCAGCCCCTTCAGCCCCTGCTCCATCATTCAAATACAACCATGACTGATCCTATTATCTCAACACTGTATTCCCGTTTTCTCCCCATCTCTCCTTGATGCCTTTAATGTCTAAAAAATA